TGAAGCAGCAAACCATCTCCGCATCATCACACTACGAGTACTATGTTTGACTGTTGGTGTGGTGTTCTTGTTGTGGAATGCTGTGTCGCCTTTACGCCAGACGTAACAAAACCAGTTTTCCAAAAATTTGATGCCAAAATCCAAAACGCAAGATGTTTTTTGGCAAATGTGAGACAAGCCTTTATGTTCTTCTTGGTTAGCAGTGTTTTTTTGCCTTGCAACTCTCACATGGATACCACTTTTGCCTAGTAGCCTTCTTTCTATTGCAATGCTGACTTTATCTGAGTCAAGCAAGGCCTGCAGTGGCTTAGATGTTCATCTGGGTTCCTTTGTGGCTTTTTGAGTCTGGAAAGATTCACCACTGCTGAAAACATGCTCCACTGGAGTCCCACATGTTCACTGGAGTCTCAGTCTTAGAAATGGTTGATATATTTGACTAACTTTCTTTCTAATCTCCTCTGGAATTCTTTTGCAACCTTTTAGTCTACTTCATATTGCTTGAAATGTTCTATTTACATGATGTATCGCTTCAAAAGGGCTGACAGAAATCAAACCTGGCTGAAATGATCATTTAAAACCTTTAATTTTGTTTTTACTTAGTTTGTCTTTATCTTATATTCAATTTTGATCAAAGATCTGAAACAATTAAAGTGTGTGTGCAAATACAGAAGGACTCTGTAGGGAGCACATACATTTCATGGCTCTGTACAAAGACACACTGGTCATGTATGAACATTAGTCTTATGAGTTGTTAGCATGTGTTTCACTGCTCAGCCCACAGCCTGCTGTCACTTTTCCAAAAATTGCCCTCGGCTTAAGACACTGGAGTACCAGCGTTCTAGACTGAGTATAGTATGCAGTCATTGTACAATTGGTTGCAAAGTTGTGTCATGTATGATGCTTGCCATAATCACATGATTTCTTCTGCCCCTTGTGAAAAACATATATTCCACTGTGCTATAAAAAGAGTGAGATGCTGTGTGCTTCCAGCACTGCTGGATGTACTTCACCAGCTCAAAAAGAAGCTTGGACATACAGTGCTGTTCACATCACGAACGCCAAAAACATGAGCTCCTGCAGAGCAATGACGAAACGTAAGTGTAATATGAAGTGTCTTCCAGACTTCACTTCTTCTGTTTGCTCTTCTTTGCAGACTATGACCAGATCTATACATTTTCAGTTGTCACATTATATGCTTTTCACATCGCAAGCACTGCATTAACATCTACACAAGACATAATGACTAAATACTGTGTCACTGTAAGTACAGCTGTAATACAAATGAGTACATTCTACTCTTGTAGCTTGAAGTATAAACACTGCAGTGAAGATAAGCTCCACTATACATCGCTGACATATCTCTTTTTCTTTAGATATTTTTGATCTAAAGGCACATGCTTAGCTTAACACTATGTTGGAATATTGCTGTGAGGATTTGATTGCATTCAGCCTCAAGAGCAGTGAGATCAGGCTCTGATGTTGGATACTTAGTTCTGGAACACAAACACCTTTCCCATTCATCAATGTACTGGGTGGTGCTCCAAAGAAGGTGGTGCATAGATATCCTTCAATGCTTGATTAGTAGCATCAAGGACCACACAAGTGGTCTCCAACCATGGTAGGAGAGCTACCTTCCTGCAGAGTTTAGCTCCAATCTGTATCCAATTAAGCTGCCTCACCCCTTTCCTTACCTCTAATACATCTGATCCAACCAATCTGGGACTTGGAAGAGGTTGATTAGCTGGAACAGGTGTGGCAAATTGTGTTTGGAACTAGGCTCTACAGGAAGGTAGCTCTCCAGGACAAGAGTTGGAGACAACTGGCCTAGACTTCTATGATGAGTAAGGATGGGCCAAGGCTTCGCACTTTGCCAAAATATGCACAAGTGTATAATCCAAGATCTTATAAACAACGTTCCACAATAAACGATTGCAAGGATTTTAGGTGTTTCACCCTCTACAGTGCATAATCTCATCAAAAGAGCCAGGAGAAATCTCTGTATGTTAACAGCCAAGGCCAAAAACCACAACTGAATGCCTGTGACCTTTAATCCCTCAGATGGCACTGCATTAAAAACTGCAAGGATGTCACCACATGTGCTTGGAAATACTTTGACAAACTGTCGTGAATAAAACTGTGACTGCAAATTAAAACTGTACTATGTACAGTGGAGGCAATATGTCAAAGACCAACCTCAAGCTCATCTGGAATGGAGTGAAGCACAATGGAAGTGGACTGTGGTCTGAATAGTCAACCTTTCAGACTGTTTATGGAAATAGCAAACGTTGTGTTCACTGGTATATAGAAGAAAAGGATCATCCAGATTGTAAAGTTTAAAAGCCAGAGTCTCTAATGGTGTGGGGGTATTAGTACTCATGGCATGGATAATTGCAAATCTGTGAAGGCACCGTTAACGCTGAAAGATATATACACATTTTGGAGAAACATATGCTGCCCTTTAGATGACATCTTTTTCAGAGACGTTACCATAATGCCAAGCCACAGTCTGCATGTGTAACAACAGCATGGCTAATCAGAAGGTGGGTGCTAGACTGTCCTGCTTGTCTCCCAATGAAAACATGTGGCACATTATAAAACGTGAAATACGACAACAAAGACCTATGAAAGTAACACAGTGGCAAACATGCTCCTGTCTCTTTATTGAACTTGCATCAAATTTGTAATGAGTGAATATTTATTAAAGCAAAACCCTAAAAGAAGACACAAATTTCTTAAGGTAAAATATCACATTCTTTTACTGTTTTTAAGTTAACCCCTTAAAATCCCAGGCTTATTACATATGAACACTTATTTTTCAATAACTACAGGGACTTCAGTGCAAACTGTTTGGGGTATTCTTAGGTTAAAGAAGGGTGTAATAAAAACTCTGAACAAGAAAAACAAAGCTTCCACGCTAAAAGAATAGCTTAACAGGGAGTTTGGAAGGAGAAAAACTGAACGACAGAAGTCATTTAAGTCCATACTTTTAAACATATGCGAGGAAAAACCATATGGGGTTTGGGCGAACAATATATCTTTAAACTCAACTTCGCCTGCCTTTTTAAAAGTGTTATCAACATAGATAAAGTTTTTACAAGTCCAAACCACTGTCTTCGTTAAATGTAGGTACCTCACTTGTCACTGGGTGTCTACGGTACCTTTAGTTAGGGAACTCTACCACATTCCATTGCAATTAATTTTTTATTGACTCCACACATTCTGTCTTGTTTCCAGGCTTTTTCTTTTATTGTTCTGTTTTAAAGGTGCAGTGTGTAAGATTTTGTGGCATCTAGTGGTGAGGCTGCAGATTGCAACCAACTGAATGCCCCTCCCTCACCCCTTCATTTCCAAGCATATAGTAGAACCTACAACAACCATCATGTTTTTGCTTCTTTGATGATAAGGATTCACCCTCCCTTGCTTTTTCTTGTACTACGTAATAAGTTTGATCCTCCATTTGCCAAATATGGGTTATCAAACTTTTCACAACACAAAATTGGTTAGCCAGCACCAACAACAGCCACTCATTCTTCTTTCTACATCTTCCAACCGGTGCTATAGCAACACCAAATTCAAGCTGCTGCTTCAACATAGAAACGTGAAAGGCACTCTCTAGAGCCAGTATTTGGTTAGTCTGTTCTCAGCTACTGTAGAAACATGGCTGCGCATCATGACGGCCTCTATAGGAAGAGGACCCGCTCCCTATGTAGCTATGTCGGTTCATAGATCCCTTTAAATCTTACACACTGCACGTATTCTAAAGAGTAATTCAATAAATGGCTTCTTTACAAACACTGAAGTTTCTGCTACAGCCTGAGTAGACTGAAAAATAACTGTGACGAGTCAGTTATTCTGAGTGTTGTAAACTCTTCTGCCAACCAGTAACACTGAGGAACAGTGTGAATTAACCCTCCTGTTATCCACATACTAGCATCTTTTCTGCTTGGGGTCAACCACACTCATGTAGTGTGAACTATGAGTGGTTCTTACACTACAAACAGGTACGGATAAGTTAGGTTTAGGGCTCCAAAGCAGAGGGAAGTTTTTTAAAGATTATAAGACGAATGTTATAGTGACTTCAATCTTATCCAAAACTACCAAACAAACGTGTGTGAAATGTTGATATTCCTCAAGTTTTATACAGCTAAAATAGCTCAGGGTCAAACTGACCCCAAAGAACAGAAAATATGTACAGGACACTGGAAAACATATAATTTGATTTTACATTTATCCAGTTGTGCCCTATTAAATTAAGATAAATATATATAGGAGAAATTGATGTCAATCATTTATTTAGAGACATTAGATACTGAAAGGGGTCAAACTGACCCCAAAGATAATAGGAAACATTACAGCAGATTTTTTGCATGTACTTTAATATATATACATATATACATCCATATATACATACATGCCATTTTTCAGTGTTTGACACTCCCGAAATGACTTAGAAAAAAGTCTGGTTCCATTGACTTACATTAAAAGTAAAGTACGTTTTTTCCTTCTTCTGTAAAGTTCCCATTTTGGAGATGGTTTTGTTCTGACAACAGTGATATATATAAAATGTACAGTAAAATCTGAAAACGTTTTTTTATGTACTGTAATGGAATATGTTACTGAATACATTTAGGCCAGTGTATTCAGTATTCAGCCACTGCTACTTTTTCAAAGTAGCCCAAGCCTGTTTAAGAAAAGGTACAAATATGTACCTTTCAACCTGGAAAAAACTCATTAAAAGAACACAACTGGACCTTAAAACCACAGCTGTACCTTTGGAGTTCAATGCAGATTGTTTGTACCTTGACGAACGAAAAATGCACCTTTTTTCTGACAGTGTAGGACTGTTTCACTGCTGTGTGCAATGACCAGTCCCGTCCTCACCACGCCCCCCAGCAGAGGTACACAAAGTTGCTGCTCTCGCGCTTCCAAAGCAGCCCTGCAACAAACCACAACGACAAGTCAATGCGAAGGCGTGTGAATCACGCGCTTTTTCAAAAGCAATGACAGCAAATGAAACATTGCATCAAATGCTGGACGGGATCTCTTTCCCTTCGCGCCTCTTACCGGCCACGGGGAACGACACGCGCGCGCTCCTCTTCAACGCCACGAGCGCGGGTGTGCAGGATGACTTGGACGTGAACACGGACTTGTACTCCAGGGTGACAGTGACCGTCCTGTACACGCTGCTCTTCGCTCTGGGCTTCTTCGGGAACTCCACGGTGCTGTATATATTCCTCCAGAGGAGAGCAGTGAGGTGCCTCCAGGGCGCCGTGCACTACCACCTGGCGAGCCTCGCCGTGTCGGACCTCTTCGTGCTCGTGCTCTGCATGCCCGTCGAGCTCTACAACTTCATCTGGATCCACCACCCGTGGGCGTTCGGCGAGGCCGCCTGCAAGGGCTACTACTTCGTGCGGGACGGCTGCTCGTACGCCAGCTCGCTGAACGTGGCCAGCCTGAGCGTGGAGCGCTACGTGGCGCTGTGCCACCCGCTCCGGGCCAAGAGCGTGCTGTCGCGCGGCCGCACGCGCAGGATCATCCTCGCGCTGTGGGCAGCCTCGCTGCTGCTCGCCTCCCCGATGCTGCTGACCATGGGAGAGACGCACGTGGGCGAGGAGCGCATTTGCACCACGATCGTGTCCTCCGGAGCGGCCAAACTCGTGCTGCAGGTGAGCTTATCTGATAGCCTCTCCCTGCTCTCAACACAGCTGACATAAAGGGGAATTCCACCCATTTGTCAAAATTTCCGCATAATTCAGTGGTTGAGATATACACAGTCATTCAGAGTGCTTTGATGTAAAATGGTTCATTTGTAGAGAAAATTGCCAACTCAGGTTTCTTTACAGTGGCGGTGATGGGAACCAGGGGTTTTAATAACTACAACACAAATACAGCCAGTTTATTTTTATTTATTATCCAAAATCACCAGTGAACATACTGTGTGTCTAAGTTTTAATAAACTCTTAAAACAGATATGTTAAAAAAAAATAAAAATACACATTCTTTCTCTAAAAAGACACATCAGTGTGTTCAGTTGGAGACAACACATTTTGTTATTTTTAACACAAAATATATTGGAAAAATTCTATTAATAAACTTCTCAGACGTTTGGTTCCTATCACCACCACTGAACAATTCAGACTGCAAGTTTCTCTAAAACAGCATTTCACACCACTCTGAAATATTTGGTTGAAATGTTTTGTTGAAAGCCATTTTACTATGCAAAAATTTTGAAAAACTGGTGGAGTTCCCCTTTAACTCCTCAGCTGCAGAAATCCCATATTGGGATTAGACTGAGAATCAATGTTTCTTATTCAAATTTTCCATTCCACCTTAAATTTTGCGGCAGTTTACATTCTAGCGTGTGTTCAGGCATCAGTGTGTAACTGCTGTACCAATTAAGGTGGAATGGAAAATTGAAATATGAAGCAAACTTAAGCATCTAACTAGGACCCATGTTCCCAAAGCATGTCAGTGCTAAGATCATCTTGGCTGGCAGAGAGAGTGTTCAGTGTAATGCTCGCTCTACCACTCTTCTTTGCGCTAAGATGCTATTGGGAAACCCAGCCTGGAAGTGTTCAGGCTCTAAAACAGTTTTTAAACTGATCTAAAAACTAACAGAAGAAAAAAAGAGAAAACATTTTTTACTTAAACAGCTTTAATACAAAGTGGAACTCCTTTTTTCAGTTTCTGTGTAATTTATTTACTGAGATGCTAGTAAAATCATTCAGAGTGGTCTGATGTGAAATGGTTCATTGTAGAGAAATACTGATCCAGGGATCTTTACAGTGGTGGTGACAGGAACCAGAGGCCACAATGGCTAAACACAGGTTTAGCCTTTTTATTTACTATCCAAAACCACCAGTGAACCTACACGTCTTCTGAGTTTTTATTTGTAATGTTGATGATGGTAAAACAGTAGTAAATCTGAAAAAAAATAGCTTTACACTACCCTGCATGTACCAGTCCATCCTGAATAGATTTGAAAATACATGTTTTAGGCCAAAACCTTATGGTCGAACTATTGTAAAACAATGTCTCAGGCATCAGGCAGTGTATTCATAACCATTTCATGCAATAACTTTCTGTGACAGAGCTTTTAGGAGGCATTAAACTCTTCAGACGTTTGATTCCTGTCACCACCACTGTGAACAAATCTGACTCCGTTTCTCTACAACAGAGCATCTCACATCAAACCACTCCAAATGAATTTGTTTACATCTTAGCCACTTCATCAGGCAGAAATTTAGAAAAATCAAAACCAACAATCCACATGCTCCAAACGGACAGACCAAGTGGTGCAGCTGATCCAGGGCAGCGTCCATCATCTCTTATTCAACTGACCTCTCGATCTACCACTTCCATCACATATGTTTGCAAATACAGCCACATTCTCACACTGCAAGACTTTCTCTTGCAGGTGAATGCTCTTCTCTCATTCGTTGCACCAATGCTGGTCATCTCCCTGATGAATGGACTGATTGGAAGACGACTCCAGCAAATATCCCAGCAGACTTTGCTCTTTTCCTATGGTTATCCAACAAGTAGCATCACGATGGAGACTGGTCGTATGCGGTCACTTCGCCATGGAGTTAAAGTCCTACGTAAGTATAAACATTATGCATCACAGTCTATTACAGTCTCTTACATGTACTTTCTACAACAGTGGTTCCTAACTCTGGTCCTGGAGAACCCACTGCCATGCACCTTTTAGTGTTTTCTCTGCACAATATAGCACAATATAGCACAATATAGTTATCGTTATATATTATCAACACCTCAAAATCCCTAGGCTTATTACATACTAAGGCTATTATTATTCAGTAACTACAGGGACTTCGATGCAAACTGGCTGAACTATTCTTAGGTTATACCAGTGTGTAATAAAACTCTGGGCCTGCCAGTGGGCTCTGGCCATTTAAATAAAATTAAAAGCTTGCCCAGTTGGTAATTAAATGCTAATGAAATTTTCATCAAAGTAAATGGAAGCTACAGGGTAAGGCTCTGTAATGCTCTTGTTGTACTATGGAATTTGTATCACAATTAGGGCTCTTATTTATTCATTTTTAGTAGTAGTTTAGTAGTTGCAGTAGTAGAATTATTAGCAGTTTTTAAAACAAGTTTCAAATAAACACTGGCCAGAAATGTCTGTTGTACATTTAGTGTGTTTTGTCTTTTTTGTATCACACTGCTTGTATCTTGATCTCTATCGTATCATGAAGTTGCTGACAATGGCCAGCCGAATCACATTAATATTATCGCCATGATTCGGTACATGATAAGTGTTTGGCTATATTTACATTATTGTCCAAGCTTACTACATAAACACAACATTTAGAGCAATATACTGATGATTTATATTCAGTGATCTCAGCTTGTTTTGGGTGTGTCTATCAAGCCATTTGTGCCACTTTTGTAGGATCTATAGAAAGAGAACTACTGTATAAAGAAAGGGACTAGGGATGAGAGGAAAAGTATAGAAAGTACGGTACAATTTGCAATATTTTGAGTAAACATAGTATTGTTACACAGAAGCCCAATATTGTTTCATTTTATTATTTAGTTGAACATTTTTTAACATGCATTAGGCCCATTGTTAGACTAATAGATTACTAAATGCCTTTCTGTCCTAATCCACAAGATGGTGCCATGTCTTTCTGGTAAGACCAAGGTTTCTCTCAGTAATAGCAGACAGGATCGGTTATAGACTTCTGAATTCATGCCTTCATTCTGTAGTCGGCGTCATGCTCGTATTAGGAACTCCAAGTCCAAGTAGTTTTTCTTAATGGGGAAAAACAAATGTCATTTTCGAAAATCACCACTATGGTGCCCTGTGGTACACAAAAACATTGCTGACCCAATACGTTTTGTCCTGCACGTATTTATCCTGGACCACTTGATCCCTTGAATTATGAGGTTTTTAAGAGGTCAAAATACAAAAAATGCTACATTAAAAGCCAACACTGCTGCTGCATTTTGAGCTGATAAGACTGGCAACCTCACCAAAATACCCCAAACATAAAAAAAGCTACTTTGACAACTATGTGGTTAAGTTGCTTTGACAATAGTAGCCTACAGTTTGAGAAGCAAGTTTTGTATTATAATAGTGTTTAAGTATGTATGTGACTTTATTTCTGTTAGCAGGAGTAGCTTGCTTATATGTAGCATTATTCATAACTTCATGATTCAGAAGGTCCAGTAATATTCAGGGGAAGAATTTACTGGACAAAGCATAACGGATTCGGGACAAACCAAGACACAATGACAGCTTCCCCATTCATTTTACCATAAAGAAAACCAGACCCAGAGGTCCTAATACGGGCATGACACAGACTGTAAAATGACTCACACCTTCTATTGTTTATTATTATTAAGTTAGATAGCATATTGGACAAACTTTGATCCACCAGGCCAGATGCCAGATTTCTAATGTTACATTTACCTGCCATTGTAATCGGTTCTGAACAAAAGCATGTATTAAATATGTTAGGAAGTAAAAGTTGAATATGTTAGAAGTAAAATTTTTTTTGGTCTATTTAGTGGAAACTTCTTTTGAGGAAGAAGCTGCAGTCAAAATCTTAGCAGTCTTAGCATATCATAAATACTGAAGTATGACAATAGAAGCATATTGCAACTTAAAGATCCCCACTCCTAATAGAAACAACACAAAACAATATTTATGTAAACAAACTAGTGCTGTGACCTTAACACCATACCCTGATAGTATTTTTTTGTGGTTAATAGGCGTGGTGGTCATTGCCTTTGTGGTATGCTGGCTGCCGTACCACACCCGTCGCCTCATGTATTGCTACGTCACAGAGTGGACAAGGTAAGGGCTTTACAATCGACAAAACACACAAACCAATAGGAGCTATTATAGAATTTCATTTCAAATTTCGTTTCATTTGCTTTATATTGAGCTGAGTCTACCAGGCAAAGTTGTATTAAATCCATTTCCATATTTCCTCTCCACAGTGAACTGTATGATTTTTACCACTACTTTTACATGGTGACCAATGTGCTCTTCTACGTGAGTTCGGCCATCAACCCCATCCTTTATAACTTGGTCTCATCCAATTACCGCCAGATCTTTTTATCCACCCTCAGCTACTTCTGCTGGACTTGCTCTAGAAAGGGGAGGGCATATGCAAATGGACGGAGCATACAGTTTCTTCATCGAGCTCCGGCAACTTTGGTCACGCCTCGCACCAGCCAACACACCCTCTGTACCACAGATGTGATGGAGACGATAAACTGATATACAATTTGTCTTAAGAACTTGACACTCAGCTGCACAAGTGTCATAATAGTCTGTTCACACTTTTTGTTCAAGTTCAACTGGAAAGTAGTGTTTGTAAGGCTTTGTTTCAGCTTACAAGTCATTACAATGATATCATTATTCACTATGGATATTAGCAACTATAAAAATTTTGTAGAAATCTTGAACCCATAAGTTTTCACCGGGAGGCTGGAAATGCATGCAAATGGATTACACATCAAAGTCATATGTGCCCTGTATAAAAACAATATTTATACTCAACATTTCTATGATGTTGACAATAAGCTTATATATACACTGCATAACTGAGCACAGTTTTAAGTATTAGCATATTTTCCATATTTGATGCATGTATTGTATTGTCCTTCAACTGTCATACTTGTTTGCTCAAAACAATGAAAGTGTTCCTGTTATTGATACACACTATAAAAGCCAAAAGTACATGAACACCCCTCCTAATCATTGAGTTCATATGTTTCAGCCACACCCAATTCTTTCTTGGAGAGGAAAAAAAAAGCTTATGATTGTATGTCATCCAGTAAATCCCCTTGATATGAACTAATAACATTATCAGAACATTGCTTAGTTATAAATATAAAAATTTCAATCTTTTTAATCACTTTAATATAGCAGATACTTGGGCTAGATACAATCTATTTTTATCACTTTCAGGATATGTGTTTCTGTGATAAAGCACACCAGTAAGAGCTATGATGCCTTAATGGATCACATTACCTCAGCACCATAATTAAATTGGTGAGAACGTAGCATAAGAAGCCTATGCTTGAACCAGGCTCTCCTGCATGGAAAGTGAGTATCTTCACCATTTAGCTAAACAGCTAGTTATAAAACACCCACACACAGCTCAAAAACTATTCTCTCCTGAACTACTAACTGTTTAAACCTGATGACTATTCCCACACTCAGTGTTGTGTGCAAAATGCATAGACTGTGTGGTAAAATGTATGAAGCAGTAATGGCTATGTCACAACAAACCTGCATCATCATAAGGAGCTTTTCAAGGAATTAAGTATACAACTATTCATTTTTGTAGGCCTATACTGAATATAAAAACATACATTTTAAACTGTGTTTGGAGCCTGATGGCAAACATGAGTAGAGAAGGTTGTTCAGGGAATCCTGACTGTTTTTAGACTGAAGCATCTCATTGAACTCTTACATTCAGACTACAAATTCACCAAAAGGGGGTGCCATAGCAGTCAAATTAAGTTTTATAAGAGCAGCGCCTCGGACAACAGTGAACGATGCTTTTGTAATTTTGTAATTTGTATTTTTTGCTATTTGCATTAAGAAGAGGTTAGTTAGATTTCTGTTTACACAGCAAAAAAAATCCAGGGGCATGTTAATTTTAATAATAAATTGCCTCTTCTCATATTGTCAACAACTTTGTTCGTGCCTTGCACCAGCCAACACACCCTCTGTATCACAGATCTGACGGAAATGACACAACTGAGACAAAATTTGTCTTAAAAAATTAATGGCCAGCTGCAGAATATGCTTTGTTTGCTAATTCCATGAGAGTTTGTTTATAATTTTTTCTCAATTTAAACTGGAATTGCTGTATTGTAGTGATGTTACACGTCCAAAATGTAGTGTTTGTGTGGCTTTGTCTCAGTTTACAAGCTGTTACAATTATATCACTGTTAACTATGAATACAAAAACATGAATATATGAAAAGCTGTAGAAATCTTGTTTCCCTCACTTTGTATGCAAATGCATTACACCTCAAAGTCATAATGTCATATAATAATCATATTGAAATGTCAAAAGCACCAATTTTGAACTCTGTGATGATGATGATGATGATGTGTACTGCATAACTGAGCACAGGACTACTGTTTTATACTAAAGCACCTCATGGAACTCCCTAACATCTTGCAGACAATAAATTCTGATAGTGGCATCTGACAGTTTTATCAAACATTGCATTTTTTGTCCACAACATGCAGCCCTAGTGGATACTGCATGAAATGTTTAACACTTTATGTTGTTTAAGTGACCTCTCATTATTAAAATGCAAAATGAATATACATGATGTAATATAGATATGAATGAAAATGTATATCTTGTGCATTCATCATCTCTTTCCACTTTGATGGAATATATCCAACTTCACGGCTTCAGTGATTTTTGTCTCGATATCTTTTTCATTTTTTTTCCATTGAGTGAATCTCAGAGGGATACATGTGCTTTGGTGTTTAAATACAATAAGGGATTTTAGTGCTCTCAGGTTTTTAAAAGTAATCTTACACAGTTCTGTGGACCAGAATCAACCATACTGCAGTCTACTATAGAGTTATGTTCTCATGTTTTCTATCAAATATAGAAAAGCACATACTTGGCCCATCCCACAAAGGTTGGCCTTACTCACTGGATGCAGAGCTCACATTAATATTTTACCTTGATCAGCCAGATATCCAGCACATGACAATATCTGCTCCTCTCCAGTTAAGCTTTCGATGTGCTTTGTAAGCATGAGACATCTGGCAATTAAACAACAATAATACTTCATTGACATTTGAACCAATGACACACTGACAGGTGCTTTTTTTAAAGTAATGTAAATGTGCAGAAACAGATTCCACATTAAAACTAGGGATGCACAATGATATCAGAATCATAATGGTACTGGCAGATAATTGCTTAAAAATAATAAAATTTGACCCAATTGAAACATTTCAAAGCAATATTTAATAATGTTCTTATTTTACTCCAGGAAAGCACAATGTTTAGGTGATGCTGGGCTACTGTGACAAAATTGCATTTCTTTCATTTTACTGTATTTGTAACCCTAAATGTTAGAGTTTCTCTCCACAGAGCTAATCAAGGTACACATAGTCTCAATTTCTATGTTTTATAAATGTTTATGTATCGGCATCAGCAGATATGTAGGGGATAGGGCACAGTCTAACACATTCATAATAGTATTTGAGCAGATTAATATGGTTTTATAAAAAGTACCCTATACATCTCTGCTATAAATGGAAACAAAGAGCCTTGATTGTAACGCTATGTTAAAACTAATGCCGCCATGTGGAGGCTGTATTTCAGCCAGGCTTGTTCTCACACTGACATGTTTACATGCTTCAAAATGGTTCTTTGTTACAGCCACCAACAAGAGAGATTAAAATAATATAGACGTGAATTCTGTGGCACACAACTCAGTAATCGAAATAAATCTATGGTGAAAAAAGATTTATGGCCCAAAACCGGTTTACAGAGTGAATCTTGAGAAATATCTAATTGTTAAAATTTGCATATGATGGTGTTATGGGAATACGAGAACTAAAAGCACATTCGGCTTAAACCTGTTTAACTACACAAAATATCCATGTTACATTTTACCCTGCATTAGTTTGTCCACACCCTTTCTTACATGAAAAATATTGGATATCAACCTACAATTCCCATACTGGTGCACCCCTAACAAAAAACACACTTAACAACCATGACACTCAAGTTTTCTACAAAAGGTTTCCAGTGTATAATGGCTGTGGTACCACACATAAATGAAACTTAATGTACTGGATCACAGTAATAGTTAATGACAGTTAATAATTAGAGATGAAATGATCGATCGGCTATGTATCGGTATCGGTCGATTTTCAGCCCGAAGATGCGATCAGCCAATATCTCTCTAACTCTAATTTCACTAATGTTTTTTTCTTAAGTATATTACATATTTGGCTCATATTTCGCTGTAAACTCGCTGTGTGAACATGCAGAGCTGTAATTAAGGCGGTTTGTCCTCAAAGCTCTGAGGATTCGTTTCTGTTAGCAGGTTTACAACTGAGCGCTAATCTTAGCTTAGCTTACACTGAACTAGCTTCATGACCTACAGGTTTAGCAGGGACCGAAGATAATCGCAGAACTACAAAAGCAATCGCATGTCAGCACTTTTAGCCTTTTCAGTACATTTGAAAACCCATCCGTAAAGCCAAAGTAAAGCAGAAGCTGCGCCATTTAACTTAAGTGTAATAAACATTTGAATAAGACTCAGCCTCATCCTCTTTTCCAGAATATTCTATGAAAAACTGCTTTTAGTTTTCGTTTTCGCTTCGTGTGGCTTAGCTAAGTTAACGTTATCGTTTCTAGTAGTTGTTCGTTGCAGCCCTTATCATGGAGAAAATGAAGATGCAGTAACTTACAGAGTCGACTCCAAGCATTTCGAATCTTAGAGTCACTGGCCAATAGTCGACCCCGACTCCTAAACGTGTTGGAGTCGAAGAATCGATTCCTTTGGCATCGACTCCCCATCACTAGCTTGATTCCAAAGCTTCCCATGCTTGACAGTTAGCCTAATTATTACATCATGATTTACATGAAAACAACAAATTCGTTAAAAGGTAAACAGCAACGAAGCTTTGTTTTATAGCTAGCTTGTTGTTCGGGTTGGCTTACAGTAAATTAAGTAGCCAGAAATGTCAGTTAGGATTATTATGCTCTCGACCGTCTGCCCTCGCGCCCAATGTGGCGGGATGCGCGAGCTACTCTAGCCAAGTTAACGCTACTTCTCCAAGGTTAGCCTCAGGAAACCTGTCACTAAATTAACTTACATTTGCAACAAAAGCTGAAAGGTAAAACGCGGATATTAAAGTGAGATAAAGTCTGTAGACACGCCGTGCTGACTAACAGTCACTCAGCACACTTAATTATGTGTATTTACACACACTACGTTAGTCACCTAGGTTAGGTTAGGTTAGCTCGCTGATTAGCAAGCTAGTTAGCTACGAGTTAGCTGCAGTTACGAGCTAAGTTTACACCGTTTATACTGATATATATGTTAAACGTTAACACACTAACTGTTAACTGAAGAGTTATTGTGGTTTATTAGATAAACTATCTCACCATTGTGCAGCTGAAAGTGTTGCTGTCCTTTTCTGCCAGTCAGGACAAGTGCTACTCTTAATTTGCTAACCAACCGCGTATTAAGAGTTTCCAGGTCAATCCTCCGAACTGGTGGATAGTAAATAGGCCTATATATAGACTCTGTGTCGGGTACAGAAGTACAGAATTGCTGTAATTGCTCTTATCTGAGTATTTTCTAATGGTAATACAAATGCACATGTATATTTATACAGAAAGAATCTTTTTCCCCCGTATTCCCATTTTTTGTCCTATTTAGATACAAGTGACTTTTTTTAGGACCGTTGACTCAGCAGCTGGACTGCTCTGCTGTTGCCCACTCCTCTCTTCAGATTTTTATTTTAGACCAAATGGATCCAAAAAAAGAAGAATAGCGCAGTTCCTATGTTGCTAAATGGAGTTAGTAAGAAATACCACTGCAGTTCTATAGAAAATATTATTACCCTTTTGACCTCCTGTTTAACAACGTTTTAATTTGTACTTGAGTCATTGTTTATTTAAAGTAATGTTACGTGCTGATCTTTAGGTAGCATATTTGGGTAGTAGCGGTAACCGCTTATATCTTTGCTAAATTAGAAATAATGCATGTGGAAAAAATGACATTTTCTGAACTGTACCATAGTTTGTGAAACGAAAGTTAGAATTGTAGTTTGTTGCCTGTGATAAAAAATGTCCATCAAGGTGTATGATTATCGTTTTCCCAGGGACACAAACTAGGCTCTAGAAAAAAGTATTCTGTGAGAAAATCTCTCATCTCTCAAGATGGAGTTCTTCACTCAACTCTTCACCTCCAAACGAGGGTCCCTGGCCAGGATCTGGCTTGCAGCTCATTGGGAGAAGAAGATAACCAAAGCTCATGTATTTGAGTGCAACTTAGAGATGACTATCAAAGATATCATTTCTCCTCCGGTATTGTATATTGCACTTATTAGGTTTTGGGAGTTCAATACTACATTTAGGTTTTGTTTAGTAAATATGGCAAAACAAGAAGTTAATTGTCAATGTTGTAAATGAACATACTCATTTTGTGTATGTGTGTCATTCATTGTTTTCTGCCAGATCAAGATTGGTCTGCGGACTTCAGGTCACCTGCTCCTGGGCGTTGTGCGGATATATTCTAGGAAAGCCAAATATCTGCTTGCGGACTGCAATGATGCTTTGGTTAAAATCAAAGTGGCTTTTCGACCAGGTTACTGCAACCCCTGATTTTTGCCACTATGACTCAGTGTAGCTACACACTTAAAATAATGGTTCTTCAAGGGTTCTTTCATAAAGAGAATAGTGCTATATAGACCCATGAACACTCAAAGAACTCTTTGCATGACTTATATAAAGGGTTCTTCTATTATAACAAGTCTGACAACGTAACAATAGAGTAATTTTTTTTCCAAACAGCAGACAAAACATCTTAGTTTGTTTTGTTTTAAGATTGGCTTAAGTGAGGTCTATTAAGTTACAGTGTTATATTTTGAAAAGTTTGAATGCTTAAACTAAGAGCTTTTTGTGCCCTCTTTACAGTGGCTTTAAAAGCACTATAAATAGTTACATATGTAAACAGCATTTTTGGAAGTATCTGTGCACAATAGTCATGTCCTTTCTGAGACCTTACTGGTTTGCTCTTTAGTTAGATTTGTTGCGCTTATTCTTATGATTACTTTACATTACTAAAGAGTATATGGTAGAATGGTGTGGCAATTGTAAGTCTGAACCCAGTCTGACTCAGACTATCACAGACTTTAACACTAGGGAGAAGTGAAATGTATCTGATAGAGGAGATAAGGTTGAGATGGGATGCAGTAAGAATTGGCAGAGTGAGCTTTAAGTGACAGCCTAAATATTTATAGCTGGAACTAAATAAGCATTTGAACATGCTCTTGTTACAAGCTTTATTTAAATGGTACCAAAAAGTTATGGCATAATACTTGTGTATTTTAAAGAGCGTCCATTGTGATATTATATTATAAATTGACTCTAAATATTATAAAAAAGAAAACAATGTTTGTTGTCTGTTAAATAATAGTAATAGTGAATTTCCTTGTTCTCAGGGAATGAATGATACATGAAACCAAATCTAAATAGTAAGTAGAGGTCAAAACAACTATGCATGATATTTACGAATAGTCATGTGTTTGCTCTGTCATCACAGGACAGACTGATTTGCCTGTGGAAGGCATGGAGGCCATGTTAAAGGCCATTACACTGCCAGAAGAATTCACTGACTTTGACTTACAGCTGCCTGATCTCAGGTATTTCCCCGTTTTCCTTAAAATAACACATATTCATCTGGATTGGGTTTCCCAAAAGCATCTTAATACAAAGATGATTCTTAAATGGCAGTTTACCAATTAGGTTGATCTTAACACTGAGATACTTTTGGGAAACCCGTCCCTGACTTATTAGACTGATCGGATCGTTGTAATATTCAAGGGTAAAGTGACTGAGTTGTGTTCCTTTTCAGCACCATTGACGTGGTAGATCACTTCTCCCTGAATCAGAGTCGCACAGAGGAAATCACTCTGAAAGAAAACTTTGGAAACAGCTTTCTCACCATGGAGGACATTGGTAAGAGCCTGTAAGCATTATCAGAACCATGTTTAATAATGAAGATCAACACATGGACAAATGATTATTTCCTCTCTGTTTTAGGGGATGATACTCAGTCTCATCAGGGTCTGTTTGACATGAGTTTCCACACTCTCAGCACAACTGGTGATGGTTTTGGTGATGAGGGGATGACTTTTGACCTTGTTGGTACTTATCCTGTCCCGCACATTTTCTCTTGCATCATTGAGTCATTGAGCTGTTCAATAAATATTGTATATTGACATTAAAATACTTTTCTGTGAAAGGAATTTGCTAAGAGCTAACACAGCAACTGATTCATGAGTCCATCTGCTGTACCTGTCACATTTATACTAACGATTTTATCATAATTCATTACTGAAATAATGCTATGCATAGACATGAACAAGGAGCATAGTGGGCACATAACCGGATATGGATTAATTGTGTTTGTTTTTGTTGTCATTTCACAGTATCCATAGAAGCAGTTGACAAGCTCATTCTCTGCTATTATTCTTTATTAATGGCAAACTAAATTAAATGTGGTGGGAACGTTGAGTTTAATAAGTCTTCTCAACTTTATGCAGACTGCAGGCAGAAATGAATCTCAATTTTGAAATCGAGCATATTGTCTCCTTACAGAGTTCATAGCAAATGCGAATGAAAATGCTCTCCTGACTGACTCCAATGGCAATTCACCTTATGAGCTCCCTGCAACACCCCCACCAACTGCTATCAGTGTAACAGGTAATTACTGTCTACTCTCTCCCCCTTTTTTGGTAACTCAGTGTAACTAGGAGTGACTACTAGTTCATCTGACCTTAACACATAGACCATTTTGCATGAAAATGTTTTTTTTAATGTAACAACAAAAACACTGTTTTTGTGAAAATGTTACTTACTTTCATTTATTTCTTGTACTGCTTCAGCTCCAAAGACTGCCACACCTATACACTCTGCTTCAGATGCCTTGACCGAGACTCCTACCATCAATGAGACCACGCTGCTGGACAATATAGATGAAGGCTTTGCCCTTGAGCCTGTGGTCATCACACGCAAGTGTCTACTCCAAAGATAGAATGATCAGAAATTGATTTTTGATTTATGGTCAGAGAGAGAGGTTTTCTTTTATAAACTTGTGTACAGTAACCAGAAAACCTCTGAAGGCTGGGTCAAAGTTCAGCCCCTCTGTACTTGGGGGCACTGTGCATAGGAAGGTCACTATATATTTATTTGTCTCTTTGTCTGACAGTTAAGGGTTGGTGGTATAGCGGTATAAAAGTGAGGACCAGTATGTCATTGTCCTGTGATATGAATATTACCATGCTATTGATACTGTGATAAGCTGTGATTGATACTGTGATGTAAATAATTCTTACTAACTCAACAAAAAGATAACCCACAATTTGAAATTGTATAATTTATTAAAGGGCCCATTTTTTTATTTTACTTGTATTTTATTTTTGTCCGTGAGGTTCACTTACGACATTTGTGTGGGTTTACCAAAAAAAGTTGTAATTCATTTTTGCATGCCCATCTCTTTATCCCTTAGAATTAAAAAGGCTGTTTTTGCCTCTGTGCCTTTAAGACTTCTAAGGTTCTGTTCTGATTGGTTGCCCTGTATTGTGCCACATTCAAGCAGTCTGAGCTGAAACAGTCCTTAAACGTCAGTGTGAATGGGCATGGCTAAACTGCTATAAGCTGAATAGGTGGATGTGTAAAGATGTTTTGTGACATCACAAAAAGTCATTTCAAAACAGGCCACATTTGCAGCTTAATTTACATTTATGGATGTATATGTTTACATGCTACATCAAACTCTTCAAGCTACAAGTTTATATGCTACTGTTCTATTTTTAAAAAGAGAAAAAATTAGTTTTCCATGATACGGGCCCTTTAACCAAATATCTTTAGATTGTTTTTGTCCACAAAAGGGAAATTTAATGATGTAATATTAGTTAAGAACTTTATTCTTTGGGCCAGACTGATTTAGTCTCAACTTGATTCTTATTTTCAGCCACTTCAGAGAGGAAGAGAGGGAGCCGGAAGAGGAAGCTGGTGGTAGATCAGTCTAAGGAGCTTTCTAATGAAGCCATCAGAGCCCAGCTAGCTGACTGCTCTGACCTTATGACCTCACTGGACATAGCTCCACCCACACGGCAGCTCATGGACTGGAAGGAGAATGGAGGAGTGGATTATCTGTTCTCACATTTCTGTGTTCCAGTCATACACACTGACTTGCAGAAGGTAATACAGGCATATATACACCCAAAGGCTGGATAACAAAATTATGCTTTAATAATTATTTACTGTTTCTACACCTGCTTTCATTATTCAAGGCAGTGGGATACAGAACAACTTCTGTGATGCATTTATATATGCTTTAAATACTAGCAAATGTGAATGGATCTACACTAAACCAGCAGATAAGAGCTCACGCATGGGTTTTCTTTGCCATGTTGGTGACAGTTGGCCAGCACTGTGCAGTCTAAGTGCTAATCAATATCCACCCACACACTGAAAGTCAGTGCTGAAACCATTTCCGTTGATGTTATGAATAATTACTCAATGTATTACAGTCACTCATTAGCTCAGGGTGAGAGCTCACATTTCAGCAGTGGTAAAAGCATTTTAATGTGAGCTGAAGTTGCTGTTGGATGCATTTGTTCCTACTAACATCTAGAAAGAAAAAGGAGAATTCTAACATTCTAACTGCATAATTAAGTGTTTAACATCTAAACAAAGTCATTCAGAGTGGTTTGATGTTAAATGTTCCATCATACAAAAACATACCAAGAAAAATTTTGTTTACACTGGTGGTAGAAACCAGACATCTGAAGCATTTGTTTCTAAAAGCTACTTCAGAGAAAGCTGTTTCATGAAATGGGTGTAAATACACTGCCTGATTCCTAAGAAGATGTTTTATGGTTGTTTTAAGAGTTTTGGCCTGAAACCAAGTTTTGAATCCATGAATGCAGAAAATTTACAATTATTTTACCATTATCAAAACTCAAAAGACACATGTAGATTCACTGGTTGTTTTTGATCGTAAAATAAATGGCTGTATTTGCTACCCCTGGTTTGTAAACACCACAACTGTAGAAAAATCTGAATCTGAAGTCAAGAATCAAGGATGTTTATTTAATAGAAGCACATTCTCTAAAAATCAGAATGAAATACAGCAGCAAGTGCAATGTTTCTGGAAATGGAGGTCTTCGAGGAAGTCTACGGATTTGGCCATGTTTGTGCAGTGTGGGTACCCATGATGTTTTGTGCATCAGTGATTAGTGATTATGGTCTGCATGTTTGTATCATGTAGTGAGTTAAAAATAGGTACAGGCATTCACAGCTATACATTTTGACTTGCTTCACTTGTCCATTTTCAAATGTCAGCCTCTCAGTGACAGCACAAGCTATCATTATTCTGTCAAACTAATGCATTCTGGGTAATTACTCAGTCAGTCTTGCACCCTGGGTAAATGTCCTTTCCTCTTTCCTCCAGCTGTTCCATAGAGATATGTTTCCTGGGAGACGGAGGTCGACTGGCAAAGTGGTAGAGGACAGAGACCCCGAGGAGATGAGGCAGCAGGGGAGAGAGGGTAAAACATACCACACGCACAAAATTATAGTACACAACACAACAACCACCAAGAGGCATAATAGAGTCCTGATAAAGGTGTCTTTTTAAAATATTATTTATTTATAATTTGATTTTGCATGTTTTCCTGACACATGTATGTGTTTACGTGTGCAGCTAATGGTGAGAACAATTCCGTTTCTTTGACGGAGGAGATAAGCTTGCTCCAGGAGACTGTGGATCCAGACAGAGAACCAGAGGCAGGCAGCTTCTTAGAGCCGAGCATCACCCACACAGAGCCTCTTAAGTCCTGGGAGACTGCCAAAGTAAGTGCTGTGCACACAGACACACAAACTAACACAGACAGTTTCTCCAAATGTACATCTATTGCTATTTACTGTGTACTGTTAGAAGGATATTTTAATCATGAACAATATATTTATATGTCCATACGCATGGAGCTGGTTTAGGGTTTTTTTTTATTCAGCATTACAGTTTATTTAAAATAATTTTGTGGCCATCTGTCCTCCCTATACTGGCTGCTTTGTATTATTGTCATCCTTCACTTGGTAACATGTAGTCATTCGCTGTTCGCCTACTGCTCACCTGTGTCCTTTACTGCTCTGTTATTCTCTGTTCTTTACTGACGTTACTCCCTCCCATTTTCAGCTCTCTTCCCCTTACCTTTTCTCTCTCTCTCTCTCTCTCTCTCTCTCTCTCCCTCCCTCTCCCTTTCTCTCACAGCCTCCTACTCCTACCTTGTTCTTTTTCCACCAGCCTATTTTTGATCTGTCTTTCACCTTCCTCCTTTTTCTCTCCCTCTCCATCAGGAGGAGAGCAGGTTGGAGGCTTTGTATCCTGAGCCACTCTCTGAAGAATCCATGCTGGTACATCCATCTGGAGTGGAGAGGGAAACCCCACAGACCCAAACACAGACACAGGTAGTGCGAAATATACATACAGTGACCCCAGAAAGTATTTAGACATGTCTGCCATACAAACAAAATGTCAAACCACGTGGTGTTTGTTTTAAACAGAGCATTTTGAGACTGTAAATTTTGACAAATTGTTCTTTCCAAAGGCGGCTGGCATGTTTCAGATTGTTTTAGTTTGAGCAGTTCTTTTCAGACAGCAGGTTAGCATTTAAAATGCTCTTGTACACTTCTGAGTTCATGATCCAAATCAATGAACACAGGCTCACCAGCACCACTGTAAGAAAAACAGCCCCAGACTTTGATGTTTCCACCTCTGTGCTTTACAGAGCCCTTAGCAGACTGGTTGGAATTCTTTTTCCAGGTTTTCTCCACACAAAGTGTCTACCATCAGTTTGAAAAGTGTTTTTGCTCTGAAACAAATATCATTTTGTTAAACATTTTATGAAGTAACCTTATGAATTTTTTTTTACCAGTGGTTAAATGGTTGAAGTGCCCAAATATCTTTTGGGGCCCCTGCATGTATTTAAGAAAAAGAAAGAATAACTACTGACAGTAACGCTTTAAACATACTTATTCTGTGTCTTTTTGTCCTTTTCTCATGTTACTTTTGTCTTTTTAGTGCTCTGCTCTGTTTTCTCCAACATTACTTCACCCCCCCACCCACACACACACAAATACGCTCACTTCATTGCATATTATTATTTTTATGACACGCTTGTATTCTGCCTTTTCCCTTTGTTTTAACAGTCTGCGTTGGACACCCAGGACATTGAAGAGAAGAGAATGACCACTCGAGCCCAGAATCTCCTCCAGGCCCTTAAAGTAAGACATAATAGAACACCTCACGCCACAGGCATCACTGCTCCCTGGCCTAGCTATGATACAGATCATGGGTGACATGCTGAGCAGCTAAAGGCAGAGATTTAAAGATGGAAGGATTAAGAGATAGAGGAAGATTAAAACAAGGGGGGGGGGGCTTTCCTGCAGAAGACAGAAACTTAATCAGCACACTAGAGGTTATCACAGCCAGATACACACTCTAATGATACTGTTTAAGTTTTTAAGTGGCAGACAGTTTGCACAGATGCAACTTGTTTTTGAGTGGAGCGCTGTTGGTTACCCTTGTTCATGTCATAGATTGACATGACAGAGTTCGCACTTGAGGAAAACCTCAAATGCATGGATGCTGTGTGAGAATGCCTGGTAGAGCGATGCTGTATTAAGGGGCCCATATCCTACGTTTTAGTGTTTCTCCGTTCTGTGTTTTTATGCACCAAAAACAATTGTAATGAATTTTTAAATGACCATTTTCCAACCTTTGTTATTACTTGGAATTAAACAGCCTTGTGTTTTGCTATTGTGCCTTTTAAGACTGATAAATGTAAATTACCTCTGCTGTTATTGACTGCCCTATTTTGCCTCGTTCAGAAAGCAGTCTGGGCTGAAACACTCCTTATAACTTCAGCTTAAATGGGCAGAGCTAAAGTCCTATGGGCTGAATAGGCAGATACAAAGAAATGCACAGAAAAACACAGTAAATTCAAAACAGGCTGTTTTTGCAGCTTAGCTTTTACATATGTTTTTTACAGTGTTTACGTATGCAGATTTCTTAGAAAAATCAAGGAAATTGTGGTTTTCCATGATATGGGACATTTAACTTTCAGTTCTAATATCTTAGTAAAACTTGTGATCACTGTGATCAGATGATTGTTTCAAGAGTGGTTTGGTTGTATCAGTAGATCACTCGGTCAGTAAGGGGTTGATAAGAGTTGCGTTGTTGACTGTGATGTTAATGATGTCTGTAATCATTTTAAGACAACGTTTCATGAGCATCACTGCTGTAAAAAGGGTTTCCTAAAGAGAGCAGATGTATAGGTGTGCATCCTGTATGTGTTTGTGCATACTTCTGTGTACTGATGATGACTGTTAATATATTTTTCATACCAGAATCAGAGCAGCAGCCCCGATGCCGTGTTCAGTCTTCACAGTCTTTGTGAAAGGAGAAGCCGCTTCAAAGTCGCAGCCACATTCTTCTGTTTCTTGGTGCTGAAGAAACAACGAGCCCTTGACCTGCACCAGAGCACCCCCTACAGTGACATCATCGCCACCCCTGGTCCTCTTTTTTACAAGCTTTAAGACAAATAAGCATAGTTACTCTTGTGTGGTTGTTTAATATATAGCACCGTTTATAGTGTGAGCTTCACTGGGCACTTAAGGACTGGTCTAATGATCAGTAAGCATAATTTAAATGGAATTTATTCTGATCATTTTTAGGTACTGCACGCCACTGTTACTCACAGTTGTAGCATGTTGCCCTACCTTTTGTTGAATTTAGAGCTTTGGTGATTCATGTATCTGGGCCACATAGTGACACCTGCAGAACATAATAAACTAGAAGCTACACTGGTACAAACCAGAATGGGTTTATTAAGCTGAGCAGGGTTTGTGCCTCTTTTCAGCCAGACATTAAATCAGATCATAGTTCATAGTACGTTAACCCAGATCAGGTACCGGAGCAGGCAGGGTGTGCAATGCTGTTTACACATGTGAACAGCATTACATTTATGATGTGTGTACAGGCTGGATTTGTTCTTTGAGGCATTTTTTGCTTAAAGTTCTACTGAGTTGCACTTCATACCTTTGAGTTTTTTTAAAAATAAGTTAAAATGTGAAATGTATACACACAAGTTGTGTAGAAGTTATGACTAATGTTTTTGTATTTTCTTTTTTTTTTTCAAAATTTCTCTATAATTCAGTGGTAGAGATGTGAAGTCATTACATCTATTTTTATTCTAGTGTGTTTTTTTGATGTGAAATTTTAGAGAAACTTAAAGAGAAACTTACTGACTCAGACTTCTTTACAGGTGTGGTGATAGGAACCAAAGGGCCCTGTATGACTTTGCAAATATAGCCTTTTTATCTACTGTTTAAAACAACCAGTGAACCCACACGTGACTTGGGTTTTTCCTATGTAATGTTTATAGTGGTAAAATAGTGGTAAATCTGAAAAAATAGGTTTTTGGGGGGGACTATTTTTGCCTTACAACACACTGCGTGCACATTTTGACCATAATGAATTTTTAAAAAAAGGGCTTATTTCAAAATTCTCAGAAAAGGATGGCTCAGGCATCCGGCAGCATATATGTAACCAGGGGGCTTCAGGCGTCTGGTTCCTACATCCCCATTTTAAACAGTTCTGACTCTGCATGGTTCTTTAGAATGAAGCATTTCACATCAAACCACTCTGACTTTTTTTACATCTTAACGGTTTAATGGTGGAGAAATGTAGACAAAATCTGAGATTGTTTATTAAATATGTAAATTTGGCAGTATTGTTTGATATTCCATGAATGGACTTTTCTGTGTTTTGTGGTTATTATGTTTGTGGTTAAATGCTGAAATGTTGTATATTTATGACCATAACAAAATAAGATATTTTTAATACCAAACGGAAAGAAATTAGGGTTTTTTTTGTTAGTATATATGGGAAGGGCTGGGGGTTAACCCATCTCTGTTTTCTGGCCGGGTCTTTATTTTGGTGGATACTGTCTCTTTAAGAAGCATCACTACAGCGTCATGCGACAATCTGCCTTTTTTATTATTATTATGATTATTGTTTATTTTTTTGTATTAATGGATTATGAGGTTTGTGTTTACGTTTAATGAGCTCTTGTTCAGTGTAATCTAGTTGGTTCAATAAAGCTTCTAATGGAGAGGAGAAAAGCTTCCATCCGTCCATCTGCATGAAGCATCTCTGCATCTCCGCCCCCTCCGGTCCACAGGTTCCACCCAGAGACCGAAACCCAAACTCCGCTCAGTTCTGCTGGGATGATGGAGGACGGACCTGGCCTCGAGGACAAACCTCGAACCGTCAGCTGGTAAGAGATTCAGTGTAAGTTTTCTGCGTGTAATATTTTAGTTTGGGCTCCAGCGCGACTAGAGCGTCAGCCGTGCGGCGGCCGTATGTAGGACACGCAGCTGCTGTGGCTGACGGTGCAGGATCGGCAGACTGTTATGCAAAGGTCGGCTGTCTTGGTTTGTAGTGGCTGTAGTGGATCGCTGGGTGTCAAGAGGAAAAACATGCACTTTTATAGATGTATTGTGGGCTCGGACTACAGTTAGATTCTGCCGCACGTTATTTCTGCTCCACTTTGATGCGAGCGGGGATCAACGAACAGCTGATGTCAACAACATGTCCTTCGACTCTACATAGACTGGCTGTTCAGTTCAGTGTCTTTAATAATGTTCACTGTCTGGGCTGGTTTGAGACTTGGGCTATCCTGCAGTATAGAAGTACGTGACGTCACTAACCCCCCCCCACTAGGTCAGCGTTTTCCAGCTCCAGTCCTGTAGTAAACCTGCACTGCACCGCTTAATGTTCACCCTGGTCAGGTCTTTCTGTCTTACGCTGTATCAAATCTGATGATAAAGCTTAAATCATTTAGATCATTTAGATTTCCCTTAAAATTGTTCACCAGTTTTTCCTTAAAGTTTCCTTAACATTCACATTAGCCTTGTGTTATAATAAGGTTTCGTGATGCCCACTTAGTGCTGTATGTCCAGATGTTTGTAGAGACTTGCTCATCCAGCATCTCTTCTGACAAAAAGGATATTAGTAGTGTGATAGTTAATAATAAGTAGTAGTAAATAGTGAGAAACAAGAACATTAGTGAGGTCATTGTGGCTCATGTGTGGCTGCTTCATCCCAATCTGCTTGTGCTCAATTGAACACATGGGCGCACCTTAAAGTAGTTGAATACATTAATTATAAGGAGTGTCTGTATACTTTTGGACTGTGCATAGGCAATGGAAAGATATGTCCCAAGAGGCCATGAGGTCGTTATGAGTTTCTGGACTGTAATCAGGAGGTGACGACTTATTGTTTTCTCGATATCACAACTTATTTTCCTTATGATCTCAAGATTTTGAAGATAATCAAGTTATCTCCAGAAAACACCTCTCCTTATCTTGAGATCACAAGGCAAATAAGTTGTGATCTCGAGAACAACATTTGTTGTCCTGAGATCGCAAGACAAATAAGACCTGATCTCAAGATAACAGTCCAGAAAATGATAACTATCTCATGGCTTCTGTAGGCTTCCATTCAAAGGAGAATCAGGATCAGAGTTCTTTTTCTTTTTTTGGATCAAAGCGATAACTGAGGAGATTACAAACGGGACGCCTATGAAGTATTAAAGGATTATCATCAGTCACATCTTCTTGCTAGGTGTGAGCTGTCGTATCTCTTAGCTTCCGATTTTGCAGCTCCAAACGTCCTGAATTAAACTCTCCACCAGCCTTGCCTGCCTATCAGCTCTTGCTGTAACATGCCTACTTAGGGGCACCTTCAACTCCATTAAAAGTAATGTTCTCCCTCACTGCACTTAGTATACACTCAGCAGTTACGGCACTGTGGGGGATTCTGGTGAAACATCTGTAGTACTTCTAAATAGATAAGAATTGTACTTTTATTGATCTGTTGAAGAGGATCAGCATATCCTCTCCAAATCCGAACATAAGCAACAATGTAAAGCTAATTAGCAGCAGTGGAGAACTAACACTAGCACATCATTGTTGTTGAGTTGCCAAACTATTCATATACAGGTGATGACCATCTCATTCAAAGTAGTGATGCACGATGATCTCAGAATCATATCAGTGTTGGCAGATAACTCATAAATTATTGGCATTGGACAGATACTTAGGTTTTACTGATTATTTCAACCCTGTATTTTGTGATGTATTTATTGTACTCTGGAAGAGCAGAAGATTTAGCTGACGCTGCTGTGTTTAAAGAAGTGTGCATATTTTTCATTCTCCCACATTTATAGGCTTGCCAGGCCAGACATGATCTGGTAGTGTGAAAGCACATCTGGGGATAACTTGTTAAACTTTTTTGTGCTGGATAGTGGTGAATCAGGCACAAACAAGGTTCCCCCCAAAAAACCCACCCCCAAATTCCTTGTTCGTTTAACACCCAGAGTACAGTCAATAAGACAAGCAAAACAAGTTAGCGAAGCTCTGTCATTAGCTGACTGAACTTTTTCCTTTTACAAGAGATAATGTTGATTTTCCTATATGTAATGCGTTCATGTACACGTGACACATCTACATGCTTGATTAAATTAAAGTTTTCTTCCATGAGCTAACAACAGACTTGTTATCCTTTATGTAGTGGCATTGATATTGGTATAGGCAGATATGTGCATGAAAAACATCAGCCCACCGTTGATGTTCCGTTTACATTTATGGCATTTAGCCGATGTTCTTGGCCAGAGTGACTTACAATTTGATCATTTTACACAGGCAGGTGAAGTTCGTGTTAGGAGTCTTGCCTGAGGACTCTCATTGGCATAGCACAGGGTGCTTGACCAGGCACGGAATAAAACCCAAGTCTGTAGCATGAAGGGCAGAGGTGTTACTACCACACTATACCAACCATTACACTGTTCTAATTAATGTCCGCCCAATTCAAAGCACATTTGAGCAAAATGGCCTGATGTTAAGTACCATGTTGATACGATGCCCATTTATACCAATATGCGATCTTTACATTCTATTTTGGCCGTCACAAGTGGCACTTTCCTGCATTATGTAATATTCAGAACACATTCAAATTTGGACCATAATCATGAGCACAGTGAACAAACCCAAATGAAAAAACTCTTAGCGTGCTGTTACTTTATTAATTGGTGTGACATGGTTGTCACTGTTATATCAGACAATGACACGCTCAGGGTCAGTCCAGAAACGGTTCATGTTGATGTGTATGAATTGCTGTACGTCTGTGTCTGTGAGACCATCTGTCTGATTCTGTTTTGTTCATCAGTCTGAGGTTTTACTTCTCCTGTGACATCAACTCATTCATGTGATGTCCGGTCCAAAATGTTCTCTCTCATTATGATGTTTCTCATCACGTCTTTGCGGAGACGTTATTGTTTCTGGCATATTGTCATTTTCAATTTTGCTATCAGGCCGGGCAGGATGCTAGGTTGCTAGGCAACCATTCATGCTATAAAAGTGCCAGCAAAGCAATTCCACAACCTGTGCTGGGCCATAGACATTAATTTTGTCACAGATTTGGTTTCTTATATAACTTGTCTAGTTTATTCGAGTTAATATACCAGAGCCATTTT